ATGAAAAAAGGTTCCCTCTTGCAAACAAGCAAATTCAAATGTGCCACATTTTTGTCCACCAAAACTTTCTGGATGAAGGATCTAGAGTGTCAATGCCATCTCTGAGAGACCTTGTCACTGCTTTTCCGAGGTTCTCTATTAATCCACAACATCTGGATAATGAATGGAGAGCAGTAGACCATAATCTAATTCCAGAGGAAATGAGGAATATTATAAACCCAGATTTTTTTTTTTTTATTTTACTGCAATAGGTACCCTTCGGGATGAGCTAGGACAGCCCATGTTCGAAACCATTTGCTCTACAAATATTAAGTTTACCTACATCTAATGTTGATGTAGAAAGGTTATTTTCGAAGGTAAACTTGTTGAAATTAAAGACCAGAAATAAAATATCAACTACTCTCACATCTCTCATATTATCTTCTGAAATGATAAAGGTTGCAGGAGGATGTGTCAAGTTTAAACCAACTCTGCAATTTGTTAGATTTAAAAAGAAAAAAAACTATAATTTTGTTTTTGTTTTTTTGTTTCTAATTTAATTGTAAATATTGTATATGTAATACTAATATATATATATATATATATATATATATATATATATATATATATATATATATATATATATATATATATATATATATATATATATATATATATATATATATATATATATATATATATATATATATATATATATATATATATATATATATATATGCAGTTGTTTTCGAAAATACGTTGTCTGATTTTGATGTATGAATTATTATTATTATTATTATTATTATTTTTACATTTCCATCATTTTGTGTACATAAAAAAATCTTCAGTCCCCCATTGATATCTATTTGTTTTCTTTGTTTACGCTATTAGAAAACTGTTGTGTGAGCAAGTGGCTGTGCGCAGGACGAGAACCCTGGCAGCTAGCAACACACCTCTTTGGTCCTCTTTTCCAGCAAGACGGGTGGCCTGACTGGCCCGATCAGATCAATCTGCTGGTCTCCATCAGGAGGCTAGGGTCAAGCAGTTGCTGTGTTGTTTGGCCTCACACAGGTCCCGTGAGCGCCGTCCCACAAACAACACAGTGGCTGCGTATACCCTCCTGTTAGCACCTGTGGCTGTTAGAGAATGTGCTCTAACATATAGCTTCCCCTTGTTGGACTCTGTGGTGGGTGGGGTTGTGTGAGGCAGAACCAAAAGCTATTATCACATGGTTAATACAAACAAATCCACCCCCCTTTCTAAATGATATAAAAGATAACCACAGCATGGAACTGACCAAGGCAGTCACCCTGAAGCCCTACAAGGCTACAGAGGGAAAAAAGAAAGCAAAAACGCAGGCCGATCGTGTCACCACCAACAAAGTCTGTACATGAAATAGTCCACAAATTGGACTCAAGGGCTGGCCTCTCCAGGCCTGCAGCTCAGACAAGAGAAATCTGACATCTCAGAATTCTCAAAGGCAAGCAGGGGTTCAAGCTGAACCATCCAAACCAGCTGCCCCTACAACTAAAGGCCTTAAACCTCATCAAAGGGGAGGTGTGAAGCGACAAAGGGTGGAAACTGACTCTGAAGGAGAATCTGAACCCACTCCAAATCGCTTCATGCACTTTAAAGTACCAAAGAAGCCTGAAGACTTTGACAATGCATACCAGCTAGTTAGGGCATTGAAAAAGGAAAGGCAAATCAGACTTTCAATCCAAATTGCTAGAGATGAGGGCATGATCATCGTGCCAAAAGACAAAGTCACCCTGAGCTTCCTGCAGGAGACCAATTTACTTAAAGATGGGAAAAAAAGTCAGTATCTCACCACTGACTTCCCAAGAGAAAAAGACAAAGATGATGCTTCTTGGTTTCCCACTAGGGTTGGACGTGGAGGTGATCAGTTTCTCCCTCAAGTGGTGGAGGCTTCCCGTATGGCCAAAGGGAAGTCTCCAACCAGGCAAGTCCTGGTCACCCTCAAGGGAGCCCCAATCACCACCCTTGATCTGGGTAACTGGGGCTTGTACAAGCTCAGGACATATATGCCAGAGCTCTTGAGGTGCTTCACGTGTCAAAAATTTGGGCACCACCAGGCCAACTGCAAAGCCAAAGCCAAATTTTGCACACAAAGATGGCCAGGACACAATTGCCAAGTGTCCAAACTATGCCAAGAGCCATCATGCCTGGAGCCTGGCTTGCTCTGCCAGGAAATAGGCAGTCATCAAAAATCAGGAACAAGCCAAAAAGCGTCCTGACTTTATCCCAGCGCCCCCAGGCACCCATGTCTGGGGACAGAATAAAAGGAAAAAGACTCCCCGACCTCCTAAAAGGAAGGAGACACCTCCCCAGCCAAAACCGGATACCTCCAATCCAGAGGAATTCCCCAGGCTTGCCAGTGGCAAGAAAAAGAAAAAGAACCTAAGGAAAAAAGGTTCAAAGTTTACCGTGGGGTAAAGGTACCCCCAGTAGACGACAATCTTTTCTTTGACTAGAAGGATATGACTCTCCTGTTGAGTGCTGTAGTTTCTGCAGTAGCAACAGCTTTGGGGAAGACCAGTGAGGAGGCGGAGAAGGCAGTCCAGGTCGCCATGACAGCTATGACCCAAACTGTTGCAGCACTGAAGGGAAGGAAGCTTGAAGCCTCCAAACCGAAACAGAGCCGCACTCCCCTCCCTAAATCCTCGAAATGGCAGGCTAGCTTCGGGAGAAGCATCACGTGAAACCCCAGCTAGTCTGTCAGGACAGACTGAAACTGTGCAGATGCCCTCACTACAGGCCGAGTCTGTACACCAAGGTCTGATCCCTTGACTCGAGGTGGCACTTCTAATCTAGGCTCTACTTCTCCCGTTAGACCCTTAACCAGAGTGTCAAACTTAGAGGAAGATGTACGATCCTCAATGACCGAGGATCTATACATATCAGATGCTACCAGCACTGGGGCTTCTGAAGCTGGAGACGAGTATGAAGTGACTCTGAGTAACCTTCATGGCACACAATCTAAGCATTCTGCAGTGGAATATCTGAAGCTATAATAGGAAGAACTCCTTTCTCCAGTCAATAGTGCAAGCAGGGAGCATTAACGTCGTCATGCTCCAGGAGACACTGACTATGGGATCTGTGCGCTTCTCAGGCTATCACGTCTTCGCCACTCCAAAGCTGGATGGTGCTAGAGGCCTGATGACCCTGGTAAAAGCAATCCCATGCTCCTTAATTGCCAATTCGCTTGCTGTTGAGATACATCTGCCTGGGGGTCCTCTAAAAATATATAATGTATATAACAAACCACTGTGTGAGACCTTAGATTTAAACCAGGTCTGTGCAACTGAAGCAAAAGACCGAGTGATCATAGGAGACTTCAATGCACACATATCCAAACTGAATCCCCGCAAAAGGCTGAACGCGGCAGGCATTCATATAGTAGAAGTGCTTGACACATTCCCAGAGATCGCTCTTCTCAACACCCAAGAATCAATGCATGTGAAGGGAGGGGTCCTAGACGTTACCTTTGCCACTGCAACAAAGGTGGAGAGAATTCGGTGGTGTGTCGATGATGCGGTTACAAGTGATCACTATGTCACCACCCTCATGGATGCAGGTCCAACCCAAAGACCACATCACATTCCTAAATGGAAAACAGACAAGGCCAACTGGTTAGCCTTCCAGAAAGGCTTGGCCCACTGTCTGAGAGACAATGAACCCCACAATAGTGAAAATGTGGACGTGCTAGAGGCAAGGCTAATCCAGGCCATAAATCAGGCAGCATCACAAACCATCTCCAGAACTCACAAAGACGCCTGGTACTATAATAACGAGATCAAAGAGGTCAACCACAGAGTCAACATGTGCAGAAAAAACTTCCGTCGGCAAAGAACTCCCAACAATCTTGCCCTGCTGAGGGAAGTTGTTGCGGATGCCAAGGAAACTGCCAACAGAGTAAGGCAAGAAAAGTGGTTGGAATGGTGCCAGACTTTTGGACACTAGACCAGCCTTAAAGAGTTGTGGAAACGGGTCAGGCAAGCGACAAGCCGCCAAGCCCCGAAATGCACTCATCATGACCCACAGTCAGAGGCTAACAGACTGGTGCTTGAGTTCTCAGCTAGAACCAGCAACAACCTGCCTCCAGTGCTGAGGGATATACAACAAAACTTAAAACCAGGTAGGCTTGCTTTCATCAGAGACAAGGCACTTGAATCAGATGACACAGATGCCTTGTTCTCTCTTAAGGAACTAAGAAAGTCATACAAAACCAGCTTTGAATCAGCACCGTGATCTGATGGGATTTCCCACCCCATCATTTCGCACTTAGGTCTGGCAGGAGAGCTTGCATTCTTGCAATTCATCAACAAATCCTAGCAAACCGCCACGGTGCCCAAGAGCTGGAAACAAGCCACAATAGTTCCCATCCCTAAACCAAGGGAGCCCGGCAAGTACCATCCCATCTCTCTTCTTAGCTGCCTGGGAAAAACAGCTGAGATAGTACTCAACAGACTCCGATGGAAGACGGGACCCCCTCATGAACACCTGCACGGGTTCACAAGGGGTAATAGCACTACACATATCATTTCCACACTCTTAAGCACAATATGCACAATATGCACCTCACCCACTGTGGTTGTCTTCCTAGACCTGGAGAAGGCTTTTGAATTGGCAAGCCTCCTTGCCATTCAGGAAACCCTAATCCACAAAGGAGTCAAAGGCAGACTCTTGGCCTGGATAGCTGACTATTTTAAAAATAGGTCAGCAAATGTCAGATTTCAAGGCCACCTCTCACAGCACATGCCACTTGAGAATGGAGCACATCAGGGTGGGGTTTCAGTCCAGCCCTTTTCAACACCCTCATGTCCAACATACTCGATAATCACCTGCCAGAGGGATGCAAGATCATCTTTTATGCTGATGACCTGGCAATCATAGCCTCTGGCAATCACTGCCTAAGTAGAGTTCAGCGTTGTCTGAACCTGGTGTCTGAAGAGTGTTGTAGGAAAGGCCTAAAAATATCGGCAGCAAAATCAAAAGCTATG